AATTCGAATAAACCATTTGTTTCAAATAAGGAAATACGAAATATTTGAATGTACATTTCCCCTTTAGATGGGGAGAGTTGAAACACTTTACCGCTCTCTCTAAATATCGTTTTCGGGAGGGGTGAATGTTGAGTCCTCTACTGGTGATTTGTTCAGCATTCATATGAATAGCGGAAGTCATCGACAACGTATGCACAATCCATGCACCTTCATACAGACTTTAAAGTGACCATTGCCAAAAAGCATTGTACTTTCAACATTTATTGGACCTAAAAGCATCGAAATCCTTCGACATTCACATGAATCTGCACAGAGCAGAGTTGCCTGTACAGTATCGACTTATAATTACCCTTAACTCATTAAGGCCGAGAGACGCATATATGGGGCAAATTAATCAGCTCCTCACAGCGAGTGACGTGTTTATGGGGCAGGTAATTAGCAGTTTCTCACAGCGAGAGCCACATACAGTCGTCAACAGAAAGCACCTCTTATTCAGCGAGAGACGCACATGTGTGTTGTACTTTTAAAAATCGCACTGTACATATTATTTCAACCAATTTAGCAGTACTGAGCAAATGTTAGCTTTTCTTACGAGAGATCCCACCTTTAGTATCAATCAGAAGAAGTATTTAAAGTGTTTTGATAACAATTGCTAATCATTATCATAGGCTTGTACAGCGTTTAGCAAATGAACGCATGTCGGCGAGAAAGGGGATTATGATGTTTATACAGAGGTAAGTGCCTGGTACTCTTCCTTGGGAATGGATACTAAAATACTTCGTATGCACCTTGCATGCAAATATTCTGACCTGCATCGAGCCCAGAATATATCAGCTAATTGCTTCACTCTCTTCCACTGAACTCTGTATAATTGTCTCGTATCTACAGGATGATACTCTCCGCTGGACACAGGTGAAGAGTTCTGAGTTAAGAATACTGCAGGGCTCAATACACTGGGGTTGTCAGGATCTGCGGATATGCTAACGATGGAACGTCTGTTGAATATTGCACTAACCTCAGCCATTAGTGTTACTGAAAATGAGTGAAATGAAATCCAATCAATTCCGTTGGCTTTCATGAAGGATTTCACATGTTCACCGTCAATGTTACTGGCATTAATATTCAACTCACTGGCAGAACCAATGAAATTTGCACCTCGATCTGATCCGATCGCAGTTGCTTCTCTTCACTTCGAATTGCTATAAATCTCATTGATAAAAGCTCATATCATCAAATGGACTGCTCTTGTAAACATGCACGAGAACACGATTACCCATCTCTTAGATTTGGCATAACATCCTCTCGTTTACGAGGTATCCAGTCCTGTGTAAGTAAAGGGTGGACTTTCTTTGAGACGATCATTTGGAAGATCAGCCATTTTTGGAGATCCATTCCTACCTCTGATTTTTTTCACACATTGATGTATGAGAGATGAGATCAATCTTTTCACACCTATTATCCAACAGCCTGCTGAGCGAACAGCTCTCTCAGTGAGTTTTCTCCCTTGATGTCTAATCTAGTCATGAAAATGCTGATTGAAAATTCTAGAAACATGGGAATTCTTTTCAAGCAATGGATTGCTCTCGAAAGACACGCTGAACTTCAAGCTGCATTGAACCCTTATAAATGACCTCACCACGTTTAAGGTTATATTCGACTATCAAATTTTCGGGTGTTCCCAAACGTTTTGTTTGTAGTATATTATCAAGATGTGAATGTTCTTATCTAAACCCTGACTGTGTCTCACATATAACCTGGGTCTGTTCCGGCTGGTGTGTTTCAGTACCCATTTTTTTCGCTGTTTTTGTCAATGATTAATTTCACTCAAGCTCAACGAATATTGAATCGGCTGCTTCACTGCATGTTCTAACATGTCGTTTAAAGTACCCATTAAGCACACAAAAAGTTGCATTTATCTTAGAGTATAAAATACCTCACCACGTTTAAGTTTATATGTGACTGTCAAATTTTAGGGTGTTCCCATATTTTTTGTTTGTAGTATGGTATTAATCATCTTTTTCTTTTTTTTTTTAAAGAAATAGAATTGTTAAGAAAAAAAAGCGAATAATATTCTTTGTAAAACGATCTGTGTTCCCATACTTTTTATTTGTAGTATATTATCTGTCCATGCTTACCTAACTTTGACATGTTTAATTCTCTCGAAATATATATCTATTATCCGAATATTACCGACTTGCTACACCGACCACGTCAGAGTCTTATGAGAAAGGCGTGTGCAGCTACGCGCGGATTCTATTTCATCGTCCTGCACTGCACGTGCACTTGCCTACATCTGCTCCACCTTTCACAAACCGAATGGGTTTGCTCATTGCCGTGCACCGCCTACTTCTTGCAAACGCGTTCTCTGCGCCGGTCCAACTTATTCTTGTTTGCCAGTACAATCCCCGCCGTTTATGGCATCAATTATAACCTGCATTATATTATCTTTATGTAACTTTATCAGGTCCTCAAACACCTCCCTGATTCAAGTTTGGAAACACTACTCAATATATTTGATGACATTTGGACAACCGGCAACCTATCTCCTTCGTGGCACAATACCATTATCACCCCTTTACAATCAAACAACATACTGTATCTATTTTTTTAAATTATAAAAAGCATATGATGCAACGTGGAAACACGGTATCTTAAAAGATTGACATGAATTTGGATTGAGGGGCAGATTACCGCAGTTCATATCTTATACTCTTCACAAAAAAATTAAGCAACACGTATTTTCAGTGTAATATCTTTATCAATATCGAGGGCGATTTTTGCCGACATGTTACTGAAAGGTAAATATTCAAAAAATACATAGTCTTTAGTGACTGTCAAATTGATTTATCTGATAACATTGACAACATCACCCGAACACAACCACCCTCAGAAACAACATGCAAAATGTGTGGCATGAATGTGCCCCACTCTTCACACAAACCTCTGCTACACCTCTGGCACAACAAACGGGTCCTAACTTCATTTTTATGGATGATAATGCCCGTCCATGGATGATAACGCCAGAGAAAGAGTTGTTAACGATGTTGTTTAGATCAACAACATCACGCATATGGACTGACCTGCAAGTTCACTTGATCTTAATCCCATTGAACATGCTTGGGCCATTATTGGAAGTCGTGTTTACGGCCTCCATGTTCACCCCCCGACTCTGGATGACCTTGTGCAGGCGTTACAGAGGGAATGGCAGAACATTCCACAACAGCAACTTTTAAGGCTCATTTGGTCAATGCAAGACGTGTAGAAGCTTGCATTTGTGCTCATGGTGGTCATACACGTTACTCGTTACTGAACACTGCTTCACTGTCCAAAATGACTTGAACCGACTTTAACATATGCTCCATCAATGCAGCACATTTTGCACGATTCTTTCGCTGGTACATGTTTTTGGTGATTTGTAAGTCTGTTATTGCTCAATACCATTTCATTACATTGTGTTAATCGTGTGTACATATGTTTCATCTTTCTATTGCATCATTCCATGATTTGCAGTTTCAATAAATGAATATGTGATGAGACTACAAATTTGTGTTGCTTAACTTTTTGTGAGGAGTATAGTTTCTTAACAAGAGACAATTTCAAGTACGGGTAGGTTCCACATTGTCTGATATTTTCCACCAGGATCTGGGCGTCCCTCAAGACAGCATCCTGTCAAACTTAACAGCCTCACTAACGTCTTGAACAGTTGTGTTGATGGGTCAAAAATTTGTTCATATTTTCAATACTTTACCAAACCTACCCCAAGATTTTGTTACCTCCCTTGATAAAATATTTTTCAAATTCATCTGGACTGACAAAACTGACAAAATTAAGAGAAGTACCTTGAAAAAAAGATTATATACATGGGGGTTTAAGAATGATCGACATAAAAACCTTTATCAATGCCTTGAAACTATCCACTTTGAGACTTTATTTAAGAAAATCATCAATATGTAATCCATGCAATTTTCCGTCACATGATATCATGAAATTTGGTGCTAATTTCTATAATATTTCTGATATTCATAATCCATATTGGAAAGATGTTTAAAAAGCATGGAACATGTATTGTACTAACATTACCATAGAGGAAAACAACACTGATGAAATTTTAGCACAACCATTATGGTTTAATCATAATTTTAAATACCAAAATCATTATATCAGTCATTGGGCAATTAAGGACTATTAACCATCAAAGACATGTGTGATGAAGAAGGTTTGATGTCTTTTGGATCTTTAAAAAGTAAATATGCAATAAAAGGGACAGAATTAGATCATAGATATGATGGAAAAATACAATAACAAATCACAGGTGTATAAATAACTATGACATGAATCTTAACTCCTATCAAAAGAATTTGATGAAATCATTACAAGGATCAAGATTATTTTATGATATATTGTTATTTAACAATAATAACCCTCATATGTGTCAGAAATGGGAGAATGTGTTTGGCCAATGATTTTTAAGTCTTACAGACAAGACATTAATGATGTAAAACTCTTAGAGTTCCAATATAAATTTTTACACGGTATTATCTATACCAGAAAGGAACTTTAAAAAATGAACCTTATCCAGAGCGCCTCATGCAGCTTTTGTAAAGATGAAGGTGAAAACTTGTGCCATGTTTACTGGGAATGTAGTGAAACTAAGAAGTTTTGGAAGGATCTTCAAATTTGGATTAACACTTATTTGATACAAAAAGTCAATTTGACAAAATATTTGGTGTATTTTGGCTCCTTAAGTAAAAACCCATTACTTAATCATATAATCATTTCAGCAAAAAGACAGATCTATGTCTCTTCTTTGAAAAACAACATTCCAAAATGCGATAACTTTATAAAGACTTTAAAAGATATTTTTTTCTGTTGAAAGCTTCATTGCCAAAAGGAAGAATAAAATGAAGAAATTTGCTAATAAATGGCATCCATTCTTCCCAGTATTCAAACCTGACCTGTGTATGCAGCAACCGCTTCTTTTGTAAAATCTTGATCTGTTTCCCCTTTAGAAAATTTATCTTTGTTTTAGTTATATATTGACTAGTTAGTTAATGACACTGGTGTAACTTTGGGAACACATATTATAGGTTGGATATAAGACACAATATACAACACGATAAGCCGGATGTTGCGCAATATATACTGAAAGGCAAAAGAATTTTTCAGATTATGGATTTGGTATCAAGGATGTATTTTGATTAATTAGTTGTCACTTGATGACTGAAAACATCATTTAAAAAACATGATTCGAACACTAGATGATAAGTTTGTACAACACACCAACTTTTTGGATGGTTTCAAAAAGTTTCACTGTTTTTGGACAAGGAACAGCTCAACCAAACGCAACATTGAAAGCACACTGCACGTGCATCTTGTGCGCATACAGGGTATTAATTCCCAGCTTGACTACCGATCCTTTAGTCGTTTCCTGACTACAGCAGCTATGCCGAGGTTAACAAGGGATCAACGACAACAGGCCATTGGACGTCTCCACGCAGGTCAACGTGCTACTGTCATCGCCAGTGACTTCAATTGTTCTGTAACGTCTCCGTCAACGGTTCAACACCACCAACAGCACAGATGACCGTCCACGTAGTGGTCGTCCCCTCGTAACGACCAGCCGCCAGGACAGACAGATCGTCCGTCACCACTTGCAAGACCGGTTCAACATGGCAACAGAGACAGCTCGAAACACCATTGGCACCCACCAAAAAGCAATCAGTGACCGCACAGTTCAGCGACGCCTTCAAGCCCGCAACCTGTGCTGTAGACGTCCTGACCTGGGTCCAGTCACCGCCGCGAACGTCTACACTTGGCACAACAGCGACAACACTGGCATCAGAGACAGTGGAGAACTGTTATCTTCTCCGATGAAATTTGCTATTGCGTATCTGTGGCTGATGGGAGGACTAGGGTCTGGCGTCGCAGAGAAGAACGCTTCAATGATGAGTGTGTGATGGAGAGAAACGCTTGGGGTGGTCAGAGCATTATGGTTTGGGGCCTTAACCAGAAAATCGGTCCGGTTATCTTCCAGAATCTCGGTCCAGGAAGAGGGAATGGTGTGACAGCTGCACGGTACATCGACCAAGTCCTACGACCCCATGTTGTGCCGTTTTTTGCACGTCATCGGCGTCATGTTTTCCAGCAGGACAATGCGTGTGCACATACTGCCAGACTCACTAGAGCATTTCTGCAGCAGCATAATGTGGAAACTATGCCTTGGCCAGCCCTGAGCCCAGACCTCAACCCAATAGAGCATTTGTGGGATGAGATCCAAAGATGCCTCAATGACAACAACTGCGGACAACTGCGGACCAACTACGCACAGTGTTCCTGAGGGTGTGGGCTCGGATTCCTATGGCCTATGTGAATCGCCTCGTGCACTCTATGGTCAGGAGGTGTGCTACAGTTGTGAATGCAAACGGTGGTCACACCCGATATTGACTTCGGTTCCTTCCAGTGACGTCATCGGTGAATAGGATGTGACAAACAACACCAAAGGCCTTAATAAACAAATGTTTGTCAAAAATAACTTCTGTTATCTTTTCATTGTGTCCTTGTTTCCTATAACCATAGAGTGATCCATTCAACCAGTTACTACCCCATCTACATACGACGTTTCTTTTGCCTTTCAGTATATAACACAACACATTGGATGTGACACAAGACACAGCATGACATGTCAGAATAATTGTGGCACTATATATACAACATATGTTAGATAAGACATATTTACAATGTATATCAGATAATACACTATGTTCAACACGATAGATTGGCTGTGACACTGTATACAATATGCTATGTCGGGTGTTGCACTATATACAGTATGATATGTCAGATGTGGCGCTATATACAACATGGTATGTCAGATGTGGCGCCGTATACAACAAAATATGTTGAATGTGTATGCAATATACGACATGATATGTTGGATGTGGCACAATATACAGCTTGATATGTCAGATGTGGTGCTATAAACAATATGATATGTTCATATATGATGCTATTTACAACATGACATATGGGATGTAATACTATATACTTATGATATATCAGATATGACATTATATACAACTTATTTTGGAAGTTGCGCAATATACAACATATGTTGGTTGTGACCCATATACAACATGCTATGTCTGATATGAGGCCAGATACAACACTGAATACAGCATGCTGTGCACGTTGATAAAACATGATATGTTGGATATGACACAACACCCTATACACCATTATATATCGGAGGTTTAACTGTGTCACAGCCTGATATGTTGGATGATTATATTCATGTATTTGTATGTGTCATTATGTAACGAATGTTATGATGGAAGACTTTATTTTTTCATGAAAAAACAACAACCCCCCCCCCCCTAAAAAAAAAAGCATCCCAGACCGTTCACCCAGTGGACGACCTGCAGTAATATCACAACGTCAAGACCGACAGATTGTGCGCAATCACCTGCAGGATCGCGTCACCAGAGCCACTGAAACAGCTTGCAAGAGTCACAAGAGACATTAGTGCCGACACAGTGCGTCGACGTTTGTGCGAAAGAAACCTCTGCTGTCACAGGCCATTTCGTGGTCCTGTCCTCACCGCTCGTTACCGCCCAAACCGACTGCAATGGGAAACTCAGCATCGAAATTGACGTTATTATCGAGAATGGAGAACTGTGCTTTCTTCTGATGAAAGCCGATATTGTGTTTCCACAGCCGATGGCAGAGTAAGAGTATGGCGAAGGCATGGGGAACGGTTTTACAATGTGTGTATTGTTGAAAGAGACTCTCGGCATGGTCCAAGCATCTTGGTGTGGGGTGCAATCGATCTGAACCAGAGAGTTTGGCAGTGGTGTTTCAGAATCATGGTCCAGGACGAATGATGGCGTGACAGCTGCTTGCTATACTAACGAAGTCCTAAGACCACATTTGTACCAAATTTTGAACGTCGCAGAAGTCACATCTTCCAGCAAGACTACGTTTGTGCCCACAATGCCAGAGCAACACTGGACTTCCTAAGACAACATGGCATCCTTTCAATGGCCTGCACTCAGTCCTGATTAAGTCCAATAGAACACCTTTGGGACGAGATTCAAAGAAGACTGAATGACTTTCAACCACTAACTAAACGTCGTGTCTAAACTAGATTACAGCTCCACTGTTCATAGTGGAACCTGCAAAAGCAATTTAGAAAAATTAGATTCTATCCACCTCAAAGGTCTGAGGCTCTGCCTGGGAGCTTGTAGGACCTCTCCGTAGACAGTCTATATAGGGAGGCTAACGAACCTTCCCTGTTATAACGCCGCATTAAACTTTCACTGCAGTGTATCACTAAATTATCTTAAAATGAGTCCAATCCAGTGTAAAATTGCGTTTTCAACCCCGTCTATGAAAACCTGTTTCCTAATCTGCGAAGCCTGGTTCCACCACTCGGAATCAGAATTCAACCACACATATCTCAACAAGTCTGAAACAAATTCTTTGGTGTTCCAACAGGAATGCAACAGTTACGTTCCAAGTATAACACCCATAGATCCATTTTCACAGACGGATCCAGGATGATGGCCAAGTTGCAAGTGCTACAGTCATTGGATCCAAGTCTGTCTCCTCCTGAATTCCCGTCAATAGTTCCATTTTCACTGCTGAGGCCAAAGCGATCTTCACAGCTTTGACTTATATTAAACAGCAGAATCATTCCAAAAACATCATCGTTTTTTACAGATTCATTATATTGCCTTCAAGCACTTCAAAATGTTTCTTCAAGTCATCCTATCATCCTGGACATCTTAGAACTCAACAACGATCTTTCTACTGGCCAATGCGACATCGTCCTCTGCTGGTTGGCGGGGCTCACGTCGGCATAGCAGGTAACACTTTTGTCTCCATTGCCGATCCCGTATAGTGATTTCATACCCACTATCAAAAGTTGTACTCGTGACCTCATAGCAAAATAGGTGGGACACCCAAGTAGGAAGAATAACTTCATGAATTGAAGCCAACAATTGGTTATACCTACTTGGGTTGTCAGTCAAGACGTGATGAGGTAGTTATACGACGATGTCGTATTGGCCAAAGTTGGTTTACTCATGACTATCTGCTGAAAACGGATGTGGATGGACCTCCCATGTGTGTCCCTTGCGATGAAGTTTTCACCATCAAGCATATTCTGCTTGACTGTGTGAACTTTTCGACTGCAAGGGATGCACCTTATGATGCAAGAAATCTGAAAGATCTGTTTTCCCGAGTGAGCGGGCATCTCATTGTTAACTACCTGAGGGAATTGACGTGTATCATAAATTATAACTTTGTAATGTGAACAACGAATTGCATGCTTTTGGATTTGGTGCTATGACATCTTCTGCTTTTAAAGAAGAATGTGATGAATAGATATATATTTAAAAAAAAAATTCATCTACACATTGTACTTGACTTGTTCATGAATGCAGGCTTGTTCTCGTCACTATTTGGCTGATATAATGCCGATATGACATAAAGCTCAACTCAACTCAACTCAACACTCACTTAAGTTTCTCCACATGATGTACGATTCTGGTGTGTCATCGGATTTTGTGAGTCTCTGTAATAACAGTTCCTTCCTGAGAAACATTTTTGACACATCAATTTGAGGCATATGTGGGTCTGCACGTAAGTTTAAAGGAGTGTGTGCATGTCTATAGATGACCACGTCTGGGTCTTGCACTTGTTTACCATGAGGTATGAACAAGGGTGCTTCATAACTTCCGTGATCCTTGTTGTCTTGTTTCTGCAACTGATAAACATATTTCTTTGTTTGGCTTGAGGGCCTAGAGTATCACCCATGGGGACGTCCATGAAACCTACCGGTGAGTTTCCCTCTTCTTCGAGTGCTTTAACCTTAGTTTTCAAGACAGTGCACATTTGTGTACGTTCCACTATTGTTCTCTCTGCTTAGATTGAAGCTTGCTTTTTCATAAGTTCTGTTTCCTAAGTCACCAACTCCATAGCAGCTTTTGCCGCTTCAGATTTAGCCCTTGTCTCTGCAGTCTTCACAGATAATGTGTCTGTTACAGCTTTACTACTTTTACTACTATTAGCGTGCTTAGGTGCTTAAAGTTCTTCCACTAAAGTCGTTATCAACTTGTCAGTAGTAGTACTAGAGTGGGTTTTTTGCATCAGATGCGGCTTAGAGGCTTATTTTTATGAAATAGGTTCCCCAGCCCCCCTTAAAAAAGCGATGCTTTAGCGAGAACCATCCTTCGATGTGCCTCCATCCTAGAGTATCAGCTGCTTCGCCAGTGTGATGGTTAGAGCATTGGACTCGTAATCCAGGGTTTGCATTTCGAGTCGGGGTAGCGACAGAAACTTTTGCGAGTGAGTGGAGGTATATAGATCATGAAAACGTTCATACATGAACGTTCTATTGACATAGTTAGCCCCCATGTATGTATGTCACGCCAGCGTTCCTACATGAGCGTTCTACTGACATAGTTAGTCCCCATGTATGTATGTCACGCCAGCGTTCCTACATGAGCGCTGGCCTGACATGGTTAGCCCCCTCTCCATGTATTATGTATGTCACACCAGTGCTCATACATGAACGCTGACTGAATGTGGTTTCTTGAACAGTTTTTGTTGCAAGGGTTATTGGAGGGGTGAATTCTCGATTTTTTGAACATAGTAGTAATATTCAGCAACGACTTTATGGAGTGGGTCTGCCATGAATCTTTAATAAGAAGTGGGTAATACTGTGTCGTGAGGGACAATTTGTAATTCCCTCTCGACGGATCCCCTACTCGGTCCGTCTTGCAAGTAATACAGATTCGGTTTGTCGTCTTTGATGTCCACTCGGTTTATGCGGTACGTTTTCATAAAAACCATATGGGTCTGTGGTGCGACGTTTTCCCCTCCTTCGAGTTCACCGGGCTGGTATAGATACCTCACGATGACCTGGTCCGGTAGTTCTTTGTCTTGACCGTGTCATGATGGCACAGCTGATTCGATCGTCGATGTCCTCGGAGACGCGGGCGGCTTTGGCTAGCTTCCAGTAAGCCAGAGGGCTGTAGTTAACCTTATCCATGATGTATACATGCTATCATATATTCAATTGTCTCGATGCATCGATTGGAGTTTCCTTTATTGGGGATCTCGGGAAACTCCCAAAGCGTCGAAGTTAACTGTTGCTACCCATAGCTATAAGTGTGGATGCCATATCTCGCCGTTGTCGGCTTTTCTAATCGAATAGATTGTAGGTCTCAATCCGACGTATTCGGCGATTCGTCCTTCATATTGCCGAGGACCTTGTTATTGGTCGTGCTGTGTAGGGCGTGGTCTGGGGGGTAATCGCTGGTGTTGTACAAGTGGCTGTGTTTCACCATGTCCTCGGTACGAATTTCCATGAGCAGTGCATCCGTGTCCATGTACAGCACTTCACATCGATCGCCGTACTGTGGCCTGAGTCGGTTGTAATAAAAGTCATACATGAGATGTTTGGAGAGGTCGAGAGGTCCCAACGTAGACGGGCCAGTTGAGCTTGATGTGGCTTTTGTTCATGTGTAGTGCTGCCAAGTCGTTATCGAATAGCTTGCTTCGATTGAAGGCCGGGCTGGCGATGAGTTTCCTGAGTTTTTCTTCCTCGTGAGATCGCACAAGTTTGACCGTCACCTGCTTTCTCAAGTTTTTCTTTGTTTTACCGAACACCGAG